GAGTGGTAGCGAAGAAGAAACGAGGGAGTGGCGGCGATTGGGGAAGAAGAAACGGAGAGGGAAGAAGAAATTGGGTGGGGGAATCGCAGGTAAGGAATGAGTAAGAAACCCGGGTATAAGTTGGGGAATGGAAAAAGCGTGAAACGGGTAATCAAAAACTTAAAATCAGGGTAAGGGAATGAAATTTTTTTTAAAACAAACCACAACTAAGGGAATGAGGGAATCCCATTCCGTTTCCCCATTCCCTTCCCCCGAACCAAACGCCCCCTAAAAGTGTGCTCCATTTGTACACTACTAGTCTTTACACCACAAATTTTTTTCACACTCTACACTTCTTATCTATATCCACGATTGTGTTGTGGGGAGGATGGTGGTTTACAAATGGGATACTTTTGGTGTACTCCTAGCTTTTTTGTTTTGACAAACAAATAATTTTGTTTGGAATCATTTTTATCCGTTTAAGAAAGTGTTGTAGTATTATGTCCTTCACCTTGTGAAGACCTATAGTTTTTTTAAAGAATTGGCGTGTAGAGTTTATCCTGCGTTTTGGAAGATTTTATGTTTTGGGGAAGCTTCAATATTCTATTTAAAGAGTCCTAATGTTCTTTAGGCCTCGTTTGGTACACAGAATTCAAATTATGAAATTAGAATTGAGGACTTCAATTTCAATTCTGGTGTTTGGTAGCACAAAAATTATCTGGATTTGAAATTGACAATGCAAAAAATGAATTGGAATTGGTAAATCTAATTCTATTAATTTCGTATACCAAACGGACCCTTAAAGTTTCCAAAACTTGATTTGCTTCTTGAGGAAAAAGCTACTACCTCCGTCCCACTCTTTTTGTCCAGTTTTGACTTTTGAAACTGTTCATCTAAGCACTTTGACTCATCAAATTCTCTTAATGTGTAAGTCTAAAAATTGTCATGTGTGATCTTGTTTGATTTGTCTTAACATATAGATTATTAATATATAATTTTTATAATTTTTTAATATACAAATTACAAGATAAAATAGATTAAAGAAATGCATTGAATGGTGTGCAAAAATGAAAGTGGACAAAAAGAGTGGGACGGAGAGAGTATGATGGAAAGATTCTTATTTGAACTCGAGTTATTCATATCCCTATATACTCCGTATTCTACTATTCTCCTCACAATTGTTGGGTGAGCCGACAAAAATAAAAAGGGAAGCCGCAAGAACACGTCGGAAAAAATGCTGGTGCTGAATAAATAAAAGAACTGCAAAACTTTCCTCAGAGTATTTGTTGCCGCTAGGTAGTCGCCGCCGCTGACCAAGAAATGTCTTATATGGTGGCAATACTTTTTTTTAGTAATATTTATGTTATGATTGACATTGTATATATTTTTTAACTCTTATAATATATTGTCACAATACTTTTTTACAATGATCAAAATTGGAACTCCTATTTACTTTTTTATATAATGTCTTATATGGTCACAATACTTTTTTATAATATATATGGTAATGATTTATATTGTATATGCTTTTTAACTCCTATTTTGAGAATAAGAAATGGAATTTCTATTTTGATATATTTTTTTATGATTTACTTCTACTTTAGTCTTATTCCCTATCTTAAACTACGTAAAAGTAAAAGAGCAAATTTAATAAATAGTCCTTTGTTAGTTTTCTATGTTTATTCCTCAATTCTAAAATATTACATAAATGGTTCTCAATTTTTGAAAATTATTCCTTAAATATTCCTTTAATAAAGTCAAACATGACAATATTTTTTAGATATAATTTCTAAAGAATTTTTAAAAATTGAAGATCATTTATGTAATATTTTAGAATTAAGTACTAAATATGGATATCAACTATAATTAGACCACCTATTAATCTTACTCAAGTAAAAATGTGATAAGTTTTGCGAGATGAAAGAAATCAATGATACTGTACGGAAAAGAATATTTCTTCTGCTCCATAGCTTATTACCATGTCATTATTCTAAATTTTCAAATTTTTTATTTATTATGTTTTTATTGATTATTTGATAAAAATATTTTTGTCGTAGATTATTTTTAAAACTTTTAGCGTAATAAATTAATACGTAAGCTATTCTTTATTGACGGAGAGAGTATTATATACACCCCCTCTCATTTTCAAACAAAAAAATCACTCCCTCTCCAAAACCTATTTGCTTTTAGATTTCATTAAATTTATGAAAATTATTAAAATTTACTACTTCCATCACGGAGTAGTTTTCTAATATTCACTTTTAACTTATAATTTAACTTCGACCATAAATTAAATAAAATCAATATTAAATATTAATAAAAAATATTTTTATTAGATTTATAATTTAAAATATTTTTAAAGTATTATTTTATCTGGTTTATATATCATATAAATTTTACTTCCTTCATCCACAAATAAATTTTCCATTCACTATTCACAGAATCAAACTTTATTCACTTTGTTGGCTTATTTTTTCATCACCCATTTGGTAAAATAATATAGTCATGTCACCTCTAGTTTTGTAGATCTTTTGATAAAGTTTTGTAATGTGTAATTTTTATTTTTAAATTTTACACCATTTTTCATATAAAATGATTTGAAAATAACTTCAGTTAAACATCGTAACGCGCAACAAGAAGTTTATTTGTGGAAGGAGGAAGTATTTGATTATAGGTTAAAAATTTGCTAAAGCTATTTGTATCCCAAAAATGTGTACCCTATTTTGTACCCCATAGGGATGAACTAACATTTTGTGTTGGTGTAATGCTAATTTTTGTTAATGCACTAAAACTTTGTGTCAGTGCAATTTTTTGTTAGGGAGAATAGACTAAAGTAAGACTAAACCATTGAAAATATACCAAAATAAGATGTCCATATTTTTATACCTGAAATAGGACTTACATTACCAAACATGATCATATACATTATCTAAAAAGTAAAATAATGTGTACACTGTCACATTACCACAATGCAAAGTTCTATTTAGGATGATTTCTATTTTTGTTAACGCACCAATACTTTGTGTCAGTGTAAACCATCAAAATGTTGATACATACCTTTGGTGTACAAAGGAGATACAGGTTTTTCTCCTAAAAATTAAATTTGATTGATCGCAAAAAGTTTACTGGATAAAGCTATTTGTACCCCATGTTTTGTACCCCACTTTGTACCCCGTAGCTTTGCACCAACACTTTATGTTGGTGTAAAACTAATTTTTGCTAATGACTAACACTTTGTGTCCGTGTAAATTTTTGTTAGCACACCAACACTTGTGTCGGTGTAAACCATCAAAATGTTTGTGTATACCTGCATTATACAAATGGGGTACAATTTGTGATGTAAGTGTAGCATAACCCAAAGTTACTACGTACTCCGTACTTCGTAAATTAGAACAAATACTTAGATAATTTTCGCTAATCAAAGGAATAAAAATAAAGTGTGAATAGTGACAACATGGGTTCACTGTTGGACTGATGTGTATTCAAGTATACTGAACAACTTGGTATTATAGATTTATATGTCACCATTCGGCAACGAACTCTTTTGTCCGTTCCTCTCTCATACCCGGAGTAATTATTTTTTGGATCATGCTACACTTACACCAAAAAAATATATCCTATTTGTACACCATAATTATTCATAAACATTTTGATGGTTTACACGGACACAAGTGTTGGTGCGTTAACAAAAATTTACACAGGCACAAAGTGTTGGTGCGTTAACAATAATTAGTTTTACACTGACACAAAATATTGGTGCAAACCTACGGTGTACAAATTGGGGTATAAATATTGGGGTACACATAGCTTAATCCTTATTTTTTATTTGCAATACAGTTAGATTTTTTAATGTTTTCTAATCCCTCCGCTCTACAAAATATTTATTGTTTTGAATTTTAAGGGATTTAAAAGGAATGTATTTGAGTGTTGACTTTCCAAATATGTCTTTGGATGTGATAGTTAAAATAAATGTAATAGGTAGATTAGTAGTAAAAAATGGGATGTGATAGGTGAGTTAAAACTAAGAAAGAGTATTAAAAGTGACTTTTTAATAGAAAAAAGAATTTTTTCTAGAGAAAAGAAGAAAAGGTAAAAAATTTTGTGAGACAGAGTGAGTATTAAATTTCATCAAAAATAATATAAAAACATATTTATATGAGGGACAATAAGTAGAAACGGGAGGATGAGTAAAGAAATTGAGATAAAGTAGAGGAGTAACCCCATTATATTTTATTTAAAAAAGGAATGCCCAAAAAGGCCGAAAGGAACAGTGTTGTTGCCTGCTGGGAAGCATACGGAGTAAAAAGAACTATAGAAGGATTGAGAAGGTTGTGGTTTTGACTTTGAAACAACTTGTGTGAGTTGATCCCAGCGAAGTTGGCAACACTAGAATCGCCACTCAATCAAGTGCGTGGTACTATACCAACTTACAAAGAGCTAAAATAACAAAGATCTCCACAAAAATATTGAAATAGATGTGAGTAGGGTCCAGCATGAGATTCATTTTTTTCCATCCCCAACCTTTGAGGGGAGCCGGCTCACAATTTTTGAGGGCTAAATAGCTTGGTAACCCCATAGTTTAGGAAATAAGCACTAAAATCTCTCATATTTTTAAAGTTCATCTATAAAATTCTTATGACTTTAAAAGATTGCATCTATATCCACTCCATCGGTGAATTTCTTGTGATTGCAATTCACGCTCCGAGAATACATCAAAAATTTGATAGCTAGGGGTACATATTGATGCCTATAATCTAAATCACAAGGGGTGCCAGAACCAAGAAATTAAAGGGACTTATACCACGAGAATGTTGGGGACTCGGGAGGAACATCAAAGCTGCGATGCAATGTTATAGGATCGACATACGAAGAATTTAAAGAAGGATTTCTGCAATTAAGAACGAACCGTCACAACTTATCCCGAAGTATTTAAATGTGTGGGTTCAAACATTCGAATGTATCGAGCAGTTTCTACAAGATGTGCTTGATTAACATAACATTTGAATGTATTATTTTGTACATTCGAATGTTCATTATTTTGAACTCCATATACGAAAATCCAAAGGGGGCTCTACCCCTCGGTCTCTGCCAGGGGCTGCCGCCTTGATATAATTTAATAATAATTCGTTTTACTGTAAAATGAAGGATACATCCCTATATATAGGGATTACAATAGAGAATTCTAATTCAAGTAAAAGAAGAATTATAGTAATAATACAATAAGAACGTAATGCAATAAGGAAGGTAATGAATAATAATCGATTGCTTAATATAGTTATTTTTCTTAATATCTCCCCGCAAGCTGATTATCAGTAATGAGGAGCAGATTAGAGCACATGTACTGAAATTGAGCCGGTGGAAGAATTTTTGTGAGGTAGCCTCTAAGAGTAGAGAACCAGATCTACGTTGCATGAATCTTGAGATTACATTTGTTGAGTTTTTTCTGGTGAGAGTGTTGGCGATTGGAGCGAGAGCGAAGAGTTTGGGTCGTTTTCTACTTCTTTATTGTTTTTCATGCTCTCGATCTCTATAAAAACACAAACAATTACAACTTTCATGTTCTTCGATCACGCACATGATTTTTTTTGTAGAGAGAGATGACATTATTGTTGTGATGTTGTTAATACCTAGTATGGCTAACGTTGTTGATATTGTTGTTATTTGTTTTAGTCTTGTTAATGTTGTTACGGTAATGTTCGTGATGTTGTTAGTACCTACTATAGGCAACACCGTTATGGATATGATGTTGTTGTTATTGCTATTATTCTTGTTTGTGTTGTTGTTACTAGTTCGATGATATTATGTTGTAATTGTTGTTTTTGTTTTTTATCTTGTTATTATTGTTTCTTTGATGTTGTTATTAGTTGGGTGATGTTGTTGTGGTATATTTGTAGGCTCGATTTGTTACTCTTCGTGATGAGGCAAGTAAGAATGGGCTCAATGTCACTGACCAACAAATATGGTACTCGCTAGTCCAGGGCCACAATGCAAAGAATTGGGTGTCTGGAGTCGGTGACTATGAGCTTCAAATGAGAAAGTTGAAGTCGTCATCCACCCGTCGTCGCTGTAGCTCTTCTGCTAGTAGCAAAACTGGAATTGAGGCCCTAAAAGAGCAGAACCAACGCCTCCAGGAACATGTTGATGCCCTCACCTCCAAATTCACCACCATTCAAGAGAACCTGAAAAGGTTATATGGTGGTAACCATCCACCACAAGACGATGACAGTGGAACCGGGGGAGAAGGGCAACCAAGAGCCATTTGTTAGACAGTTTGAAAACACTATCAATGTTTACGCATACACTACACTTCAATGTTTATGCATACAAGACATTAACATTAACCTAATTTTTATTTGTTATGTGGTTTTTGATTGACTTTTATATTAACAAATTATTTGCAGTTATGTTATAACATGTGTTTTTGTAAATCTCATCCCCATGAATGGTATGTTGCTGATAGTTGAGAAAAAACAAAAAAACAACTGCAAAATGCCAGAAAATCATACCTGCTGATGTGAGCGTCTCCGATGGGTCTGCGACAGACGCAGTCCATTGCATGTGTCTAGTTGCAAATGTATGGTGCTTTACCTTTCGCAGATTTGCGACTGACTCGCATCTCCGTCGTAGATGTCCAATAATTGACCGAACTCTTTTCTCGTCGCAGACCAGCGACAGATATTATTATCCGTCCAAGATTACAAGCTAGCGACGCCTTATCTATGATGGCTCTTGGACGTCGCATGTCCGTTGCAGATCACAAATCTGCTACTGCTTTTTCGAAGCTGCGATGGAAATTTTCTGTGGCAGATCCGACAGATTTTTGTAGTGTTAGAAAAAAGAACAAGAAATGTTGGAAATTATACTTGGCATTCGATGTATGAGAGTTGGAGAATGCTTCTCAATTCACATTCGAGAACCGTTTCCTAATCACTAGTATAAGGACTTACGCAGATCAAGAGAAAAGCTGACGAGTCTTGTTTTTAAAGATATAAGCAGCTCATCAATTAGAGTTGTGGTTTATTTAGAGGAAATTGCCCATTTTTCGCAGTATGTGAAACTTGCAGCTCATCAATAAGCAGTGGCGGATCTAGGATTTTTTTTCACTGGGGGCACATGTTCTCTTCTCAAGCCCAGCGATGGACGATTCTAGAATCTCCACTTGAGTACGGACCTCGAGGACAAGATCTTAGATCGGAGAGAATCCTCGATGAAGGGAGAAGCATTCACTGAGTGATCCTGCTCGAACTCTTCTTCTCTCTTCCTCTTCCAGCTGTTTCCGGCACCGAAGCTCAAGCACCGGTCGCTACTACGCTTTCTGTTCAATGAAGACAGATTGAAGGAATGTAAAGCTTGTTAACGATCTACAATGAAGATATAACTTCTGAGAAGGATAGGCAAAATGCGACCGATATATTGATTGAAAAGAATATAATCAAATTTAACACTACAAAAAATATGACTTTTGGTGGCAAACTTTTAGTAGCAAAATAAATATTTGCCACAGTATATAAATAGTCTATTAATATTTGTGACAATTTAAAATTTGCCACAAAATAGTATACTTATTGTGTCAATTTTATAAAATTGCCACTATATCTAAACTATTAAACTATTGAGGAGGGAAATTATTAAAGGGATTAATTTTATAAGTTAAAATATACTACTTCCGTCCCACTCTCTTTGTCCACTTTTGACTTTTAGAATTGTTCAAGCACTTTGACTCAGTAAATTCTCTCAATGTGTAAGCCTGAATATAGTCATGTGTGATCTTGTTTGATTTGTATTAACATATAGATTATTAATATATAATTTCTATAATTTTTTAATATACAAATTACAAAATAAAATGGATTAAAGAAGTGCATATGATGTGCTAAAAAGTAAGTGCACAGCGGGACAAAGGAGTACGGTCATACGGAGTATTTTTTGGGGAGTATTTCGACAATCCCGCCTACCCTAATACCGGCAAAACACGGAGTATATTCCCTCAATTCCTCCACAATTTCGATCTTTCTCATCTCATTTGTAACCTCTCTTCTCAAGCTCCGCCTTCTTCAATCGCCTCGTTTTTCTTCAATCCTCGGTCTTCTTGAACGATCACACACCTCTTACAAGTTTAGAGCAGGTAAGTATTTTATTCTTAAAAATATTCAAGTTTTTGTTTAGGTTTTCAAAATTGTATAAATTCGAAAATAATGTTTTAGAATATTAATTTGGATTATTGCAGATGTTAACTCTTCATAGTTGAATTTTTGTTTTAATTTCAATTGTTTTAGAAATTTTCTTTGTTCTATACGAGTTAATGTCTGTGTATGTGTACATCTTGTGGGTGTGCTGCTACTTCTACTTCTTCTCTTGTTCTTCCCTTAAAGTTTGGAAGGGAATTCATAAATTGCAGACTAGAAATATACCGTTTGGGACTGATCCTCCTGTTATTGAAATTGGGAATGTGGTTTTGGAATTTTAATCTATTAATTTAATTGTTAATTTAATTACTCTTTGTAATTAAAAAAAGTATGAGATTTAGCATAAGCTGCTTGTGTTTGTTTCCAGAATTGAGAGCTATATGATGATGTTTATGAACCTGCTAAACAAAGTTTTATTCAGTTCAGAATCACGGGGAAGAATATGAAAACCAAATCCTGATTGCTGGTTTAACTTTCTCTTCATCGAACTGGTCGCTGGTATTGAACCCTATCCTGATTTCTTCTTGTTATGGTAGTTTCCATCTCTGTTCTCACGTCTCACGCCTGAAAAATCAAAGAAGAATGAAAATAAAAATAAACCTGAGAATCTCTCGATTCCGCCGTAGTTGCCATCTCTCTTTTGAGATTTTATGATTATACATATATAGTCCACAAAGTCTACAATCTAATTTCAAGCAATAAAAAACGAATACCGGCCTCAATAAGTCGATCAAGAGGAACGATGGGGAAGAGGAAGTAGACCGTCTGAGGAAGATGAACTAGCGATGCGTCAGAGATCTGAAAACGAATTGAGTTGTGAATTACGTTAATTAGAAGTTTTTTTGTTGGGAGGTTAATTAGAAGTTAATTGGGCGATATGGATGAAAATTGAAATAGATGGCATGGGTCGGGGTATCTTTTATTTAAGAAAATACTGCACGGAGTAACTGATTTGGCACACTTATGTAATTTCGGCATATGAAATCATTTATAACCACTCTTATAAGTGTGGAAAAATAGTAAAGTGCTAAATATTGTTACAACACTTAGTCATATGTGGCGAATTAAATGTGTCTAAAACCCAATTTTCTTGTAGTGATAAGAACCAGAAACAAGAGAAAAGGGGAATATATATATAGTTTGAGAAGAGAAGATTGATTGATTATTCTTGAGTATTGTTATAATTTGATATGTTTTTTAAGATGCATATGATTACTATCTATCAGATTATCTTTTGTATAGAGGACACCAAGTGAATCATCTTAATATGTTCATTTCACTTCTAAGGAGTAACATATAGCTCCCTCGAATGATACAAGGTATTGATGACTAAAGATTCATCTATGGAATATTTATTATCATTATCATTTAACACTTTGTAAAGTTTCCAAATAAACCATGTAGTTAGACCTGGTGGAACTAATCTGATGAAGCCTTTAAATGTACTCTTCTTATGACTAAATTGTTATTTCCAAATTATCCTCACAATAGAGCGAGTAGTGTGTTCTTCCTCTTTTTCAAAACAGAATTTTCAGACTACTATATAGAAGAGTTAAGCGTGGGAATAACTTAAGGAGTATATTATATTTGCTGAACATAATCTCTGTTCTGAAGGAAGCAGGAGTAACATTTTGAATTTTTACATAGAGAAATCTGTTGTTGTTGTTCATGTATGCTTGGTTTTTTAGTATTTACTCATTTTCGAATTAAATGCTGATTGAGTTTCTGCATATTTTTTGTCAAATGTCTAGTTAGGGTTTGTTTTGAGATGTAAGGAATGTGTAATGTGGCAGGGTAGTCAAAACTGAGGTGGGGGTTCTCTGCTCTGCTTGCTGCATCTCAAAAATATACTTTTGAAATTAGGCCATAATGTAGCAGTTGTGGGACTGTGAGAGTCCCCTACTTATGGCTCCACTTTAATAAGAGATTAACTATTTGAATCCTTAAGACTTTATTGAGATTATGAGTTCTATCCCCATGCATTCTCATCTGTATAGGCTTAGGGTCCCAAATGTCATAAAAGAATCCAGAATTAAGGAATTTGTTTAGAAAAGTGCTAAAATTCTACAGGTTCGTTTCCTTCAAAGGAGAAAATGGTGTGAAGTTTATTTTGAGATGGCTAGAAAAAGAAAGTGTGAACTTGATTGTAAAACAGAGGGAGTACAAACATAGATTCTTGGTGTGAAAACTGATGGTAGTTTTGTAGTCAATACACTGTTGAATATGAATCATGTTTTTTATTGCTTTGTGAAGTCAGCACTAACTCTTTTGCGCTGCAACAGTTAAAGTCAAACATTTTACAATATGCAATATAATGCAACATATTTAGACATAAATTAGAATAAGTTGGAGTAATAATAAAATGAATGGAAGTATTTTTTACTGGTTTGAAATTATGCAGGAGCATAGATGAATTTATTTGAATGTGCATATTAATATTTATGCTTCAAGTGTAGATGAATTCTTATTTAACAGTACGTATTAGCATTTTATGTAAAAGTTCTGAATGGTCCAATTAGGCCGGATACTTCGTGTTCGGGGTATTCATCAGTAAGATATAGAGCTTATACATGAGAGCTGAAAAAACTTTTCCTTTCATCTCAGTATGAAGAGTCTGTTTGTATGATCAATTGCTCCAAACTAAAGCCATGAAGTTTATACTTCAGAGCTGAAAAGCTTTTCTCTAAGAAGTAAGAAGTTTGTCACGGTTTTGCTAGCATTATTAAACTTAGCCAAAGTACCCTTTTTATTAACTTCTTCTTTAAGAGATTCACAAGATGAACAATTCCCAAGGATCTCATCTTTGATTTTGCTAAATGTAAGATGTAGGTTGTTTTTGGTTTTGTCCTTATATTTGCTATGTTAAGTTGCCAGACTTGTCCTTGTATTTGCTATGTTAAGTTGGTTGGCAGACTTGTCCTTGTATTTGCTATGTTAAGTTGACAGACCTGATAAAAAATACACTCACCCTCACATATGACTGAGATAGAGAAGACAGACAAGCATACCTCCCTTCCCCATTCTGTTTTATCTTCATTCTGTTTTTGCTTCGAAATAAAACTTTCGGAGTACTATATAGAAGAGTTAAGCGTGGGAATAACTTACGGAGTATATTATATTTGCTGAACATAATCTGTATTCTGAACAAAGTAGTAGTTTTTCTTAGCATGTAGCCTGTGCTGTGCTTGTGTGCTTTGGGCTAGAGTTGCTGGTGGTATGAGTGATTTCTTTGTCTGTGCTCTCACTCTGTTCCTGTTGTTTTGTTTAATTTGGCTGCATGTGCTTTTGTCTTTACTAACTTTGCTGGTATGAGTACTAGTCTTTTTTATAGATGGAATGAGAAAAAATCTACTCCAAAATCTCATAATGATATGCCAAATAGAACAGAATTTATTTTTTTATTATCCTCTTTAATATATTCATTTAGTGATTGATGTCTTGTACTGCATTTGTTTGTTTTTCATTTGCAGATCAAGGCTCAATATACAAAATACGCTTCCATTGACTCCTTGGTTGAGAATTGCAATCAAGATATATAGAAGTGACAACATGATGTCAAGATAATAGATCGATGTTGTTGATGAGAGGAAGATTATATTTTAGAATATTTTTGGCAAAAAAACATGTTTAGTATTTTTTATTATTACTATTTCAAACCTCTATTATATGATTGTGAACCTTTGTTTGAAATTATGGGAACCATATCATATATTCTGTTTTTATTCATAACAGATGACTTTTAGTTAATAAATCTTTATAGTAATTTGGTGCTTTAGCTATTACTCCACATAATTTTTCACATTGCATATATCATTATCTGTAAAATGTAAATAAATACAATAAAAATAAGTATAGTATTCAGAATAGTAATGATAGTTTAAATAATTTGTAGCAAATTTAATATGCGGCAATTTAATTTCTCACTACATTAGATTTGCCACAATAACTTGATAATTGTAGCAAATAAAATTTGCTAATGGAAATAAACTTTTGTGGCAGAGTATAATTTGTGGCATTCTAAATTTGCTACTAAATATGACTTTTTGTGGCAAATTATAATTGGTGGCAACTATTATTTGCCACTAAATATGACCTTTTGTGGCAAAATTTTATTAGTGGCAAATTATTATTTGCTACAAAAACCATTATTTTTGTAGCAAATTTAAATTTGCCATAAATACTTTTTGTAACGTGGTATCTGTGGCAACCTTGTAGCAAATTCATGAATTGCTACAAATTATTATTGTGGCTAATTTTTAATGTTTTGTGGCAAAAATTGGTGCCACAAAAGGTCAGGTTTTTTGTAGATTAGATCCCCAACTACGGCATCAGTTTTTTTAGAGGTAACAGATGCCTTTGTAATTTTTAAACAATGCGTAGATTAAAAATGTCTTTTAGCATCCGTTGTACAAAATAACCGATGCATTTGTTAATTTATTAAAAATAAATTGAAAAAAATATATATATTAGCATCGATTGTTTAAAATAACCGATGTCGTCATTGGTCTACTGCATCGGTTATTTAGAAATAACCGATGCTAATACATATTTTATTTTTTCAAATTTATTCTAATATATACTGAATTAGTTTCATAACAAACAAGCAGTGTCGCGGCAGAGTTGGCAGTGGGAGTATAATGGTGGAGGGTGACAGTTTGGTGGCGACAATAGTGACAATGTGGCAGCAGAGTATGATAGTGTGAGCATTAAGTAAGCGCGAATTTGTCACTTTATTAAAAAATATCCTATTTATGTCTAAAAGTCATATTACGCATATTTTGGGCATTTAGGACTCATTTTACTCTTATTCTTGTCCTTCTTTCTTTTAAACTATATCACATGGTTATCTTACCTTAGTTCATATTTAATTTTTGCATATGAGTCATAATATAATATTGTTAAATTTATCTAAAAAGTAATTAAAAAGTAAACATATAATATTTTAATAGCTCTATTATAAGTATGTATTTTGATACTTTATTACGAGGTATTTTTTAATGCAAAATGCAAGTGTTAGTATGAGTTTAACTATTCTATAAGAAAAGGTCATAACTCGTTTAGTTAACCCAAACCCAATGACACTTGGTAATGCATATGCAATTTTTTACTTGGATTTGAGCGCACCTGAACCCGATATAATGTGAACCTGAAGTAACTGAATCTGAACTTGATTTGACCAACCGATTTGGCAGCTCTACATAGTACGGAGTACAAAACACTAAAATATTTCTCCCTTTGTCCTTAAATTTTTTTCTTGTTGCACGTTATGATTTTTTACTAAAGTTAGTTTTAATTCATTTAATATTAAAAGTTGTTGTAGAATTAAAAAATAAAAATTATACTCCCTCCGTCCTATATCTTTCTTCTCGTTGCACAAAACGAAGAAAAATCCCAAGTTTTTTCAATCTATTTTTTTAAAATATTGGTATAGAAATAAAAAATAAAACATACATATTTAAAAACTACATCAAAAGCACGTTCAACAAAACAAGTGGTGAAAAGAATATTTTATTTTATCATATAGGCCATGAAAAAACACAAATAAATATAAATTCCCGTGAAGTTGGAATAGTGCTATGAGAAGAAAGTTTTAGGACGGAGGGAGTATATTAAAGAAAAATATCAAAAGATCTACTTCTTCCATCGCATAAAACTTTGTTTGTCCCATAAAACATTTCAGCTTGGCTAAATGAACATTATTTCCTTTACTTTTCTTAAATCTAACCGGACATACATCAACTACCTTCTACGCCCTATCCACATTGATATTTCTCGAGCCTTACTCATTGCAATTATCGTCGTTCCACCTTTGTCAAATTTCTACATTTTCCTCTCCCAAAAGACAAAACTTGAAATGTTTTGCGGAACGGAAGATGTACAAAATTAGAGGCAACATGAATATAAAATTTTATCAAATTAGCAACGACGGAAATATGCAAACGTAGTGGATAAAAATTGACATTGTGAATAGTGAACGAATTGTAGATGAAAAGAGCATTATTAGTATTTCACTCATATTAAATTCGATAAATAAATTAAAGGGATAGAACTTAATTAACTTGAATACATATTAATGACCAATTGCAATTGAAGGGATAGTAGGTGGAAATTAACGTACGCAGTACAAAAGGAGAAAGAAAGTGCAGTAAGTGAAATTAAAGAAGCACGCATTGCTTGCATGCATGCACGAGAACTTGTTCGTACTCTTTGTTTAATCAAGTTGAAGAGTCCAATGCAGCAGGGACAGCAGGGTTTGTGACAGCCGACTTAATTTCAGAGAGCGCCATGAAGGTGCTTAATTTCACAATATCTATGATCTGCTCTCTCAGCTCCGCCGGAAACCTCTCCTCCGCCAATTTGTCACTGCCGCCGGTGCTCTGGCCCACCGGAAGATTATTTTCCCCGGGAGTTTTCTTCTTCCCACCATTCCTGTACATCATGTATAGCACCATTTGGATGACGCCGAAGCTGAACCCCAATACGTTGGGAATCTGCATTTAATTTATAAATATAATTAATGACAGCTTATTAGTTAATCATTTTTATGGTAGCTATGCATGTATTTAATTATTAATGTACTTACAGCAATATTGTAGTCCTTGCGAAGTAGACCAAAGAAAAACCACATAACGGCGCTGATAGTGAGGAAGAAGGAGAGGAGAAATGGCATATACTCCACGCTTTTGGTCTTGATCACTTGCCGCTGGGCGCACACGTTATGCATAAATATTTAGACATATAATTATAGTGGTTTTGTAATAAAAAGTGGGAGTGTTCTAGGGAAAAAAAAGAGAAAATCGAAAGAGTGAGTGTATAAAAAACGGAGAGAGTAGGAGTCACGTACCACAACGCACAATGGTGCAACGAAGACACATAAGGAGAAGACCAGACAAATCCAGCCCACAATATGGGCTCGGCTTGCGGCTTCTTTGACCACAAATTGAGTGAGCAGAACGATTAACCCGTACCCACAAACATTGAGGACGAGAATAGATTTAAGTGTGTCAAACTGCATTCATATGTGCAATAATTCATCAATATGAATTTAATGAGTATTAATCAACCCTGCTAGATATATAGAAGTACTATATAATTAGTTATTGCATGAATAAGTAATTAATAAATTGAGATTTACCCTGTCCTTTTTGGTGGCATATAGGAGGTAGAAGATGATGTATAGAGTCTGGCCAAAGCAGCCCACGGAGTTGATGGTGATGAGAAGGGTGGTGTCGGGCATGAGGAAAGCATAGTAAATCCACAGCATTGCACTGAACAGCCCCACAACATACGGCACTGATTGGTATCCTTCTGATGATTTCTTCTTGTATATCTTGTAAAACGTTGGACTGCAACGTACGTACGTACCCAACATAAATTTAGCTTTTTTTACATATTTATTTAATACTACTACTACTATTACTACGAGTGTATATAAATAGGTTATTGATTACTACTAGCTACTCCATTAAGCTAGTAAACACATTATATTATATTCCATTAAGACATGAGCATTATATATATGTACTCACACTGGTGCTAGGAACACCATGAATGACACAATGTTGCCTGCAACACAATAATCATGGTACGTGCATGTATATCAGTAAAAGGAAACATTAATTTAAGTATAAAGTGGCCGGGATTAATCTTTGCAGGAGTAGGTAATTAATTCGTACCTAGAAGGCCGAATGCAAACGCCAAGTGATTCATAATTAATTATAATAATCTCAAGTTAGTTAGTTCTACTAGTGTAGCTAGCTTAGAACAAGAGTGAATTGTGTCTAGGCTTAATTAGGGAGTATGTAATAGATTCAATGGTGTGATGAGAGTTGCAAAAGATGAGGGTGGCATTTATATGGTGCGAGGAACTGAGTACGTGCGTGCGTGTAGCTTGCTTGGAAACGCACTACAATTATTTTGGATGACAGGTACGCATTCTGCTGTGCGTATTCTATTTTCAACTTGTGAAATTTTAGACATGTAAGCCTAACGCATTATCTTATTTTTCTTTTCAACTTTTCAAATTTTGAAAAGGTAAGCCTAACGCATTATAATCTTGAATCCTTTAATATAATAAAGGAGACTCGGATGCATAGAAATTCGATATTTGGCATGTCTATGTGGCAAAATTTAAACATGTCAACACGCCACGTGATATCTGAGTAAACCAGCGGAAATAAATTATATATGATGCACCAGCGGATCTCCCATTGAAAACAATTGACCGCAGATTTTCTACTCGATAATCACTGCCCTTCAACAAAATTCTTTCCTTCAGATTACAATAATACGAACTCCTTTTATGATGATAATATAAAATAATTAAAAATAAATATGAAAAAATATGAATACTATTTAAAAAATAAATATAATATTTTTCGTTTAATTTAAATAGAATTTTATGACCATGCTACATATATTAATCCTTTATCTTACTTCCATATTTAAAAATTACATACTTAAATTAATACTCCGTAAGTTACAAAGGTTTATTGTAGAAATTCGTGTGTAATAGAAGTTAAAATCAATAGAGTACCTATATTAATGGAAATTAAAATATTATTTTTTATATAAAAGATTATTAAGAAACAAATTCTAAATAATAATAAATTTGAAAATGATGATCACGAGTATATTACTCATCACTTTACTTATATTATGTACTCCCTCCGTCCCACTCTTTTTGTCCACTTTCATTTTTGCACACCATCCAATGCACTTCTTTAATCCATTTTATCTTGCAATTTGAATATTAAAAAATTATAAAAATTATATATTAATAATCTATATGTTAAGACAAATCAAACAAGATCACACATGACTATTTTTAGACTTACACATTGAGAGAATTTGATGAGTCAAAGTGCTTAGATGAACAGTTCCAAAAGTCAAAACTAGACAAAAAGAGTGGGACGGAGGTAGTATGTTGGATAATACTAATATTATTTTGGATCTGTTTTCTTATATATGGAAATCCTTAATTATGTGTCTTGGATAATCAATAATATTATATGTAAATATATGTTTTCAGATTACAACAATACAAACTCCTATTTCAAGAATAATATAAAAAATTAAAAATAAATACAAAAAAATATAAATACTATTTAAAAAAATAAAAAATAAATATAATAATTTTCATTTAACTTAAATAGAATTTTAGAACCATGCTACATATATTAATAAGTAACAAAGATTTATTAATGAAAATTCGTGTATATATAGGTTGAAATTGTTGAAACACGGGTTTATCGTGTTTTCGTACTAAAGCCGTGTTCGTTTTTATGACAGGTTTTGATAATGCCAAACCGCCGTGAACGAGACAAGTTATTGAATATACAAGGCGAGAAATAAATATAAGAAGAAAGCAAGAGAACAAGACCCAAAAGAAGACCAAGAACGAAGACCGTTGTCTTAGTGTTGTTGAGTCGGTCATAATTGTGATCAAGACCGACCCAACCTTTACACCTTGGCTCTTTAGGCTAAAATTCTTTTCATTGCATTTCACACATCATAAAAATGTTTTTCAAACATGTTTAAAACATTAAAAACACTTGGTGTTCGCCCAAACCAAAAATCAAGCCATCCGGCGTTCGGGTTTCAGAAACCGGCATTCGGCATTCGGTTTTCGGCGTTGGTTTTTGGCGTCCGAACTAACCAAGTGGTTTTCAACTTTTTATGATTGGTTTTTACTTCTGGGCACATTTAAATAGTTTTCCATCAAAAACACTTCAAAAA